ATCACAGCTGCAGGCAGTTCGAATCACCCTCTGGGGTTGGATTGTGGAGTGGGCTTATTTCCCTCCACTAAGTCTCTATTGGGCTTTTCCTTCTCCAGGTAGTGGTGTGTGTTTGAGTGTGTGTGTGTGTGTGTGTGTGTGTGTGTGTGTGTGTGTGTGTGAGTGTATTGCTGATGGTGGTTTTGCATTGTAGGCCTCTTTGGCACCCAGTGTAGGGGTGTATGAGAGATCAAAAGAAACCCAAGGGAACTCACCCTGCTGTCATTTCTCAAGTTCGAAATTCCTAGCCAGTCTGCCTTCTTCTTTTCTGCTTTCAGAGTCTTTTCATTATTATCTGTTGAATAATTTCTAAGAAATATAGTTGCATTTGAAGGACAGAAGCAGGGAACAATGAGTCTATGTCATCTTGTTCTGAAACTAGAAGTCCTCTAGTGTAGTTTTGAAATACTATTTTAGTATGAGTGAATTTGAGCATTTTTTATGAGTTTTAAAGCCATTTTAATTTCTTTTTCTGTATTTAATTTTGATATTATTTATTCATTTTTATACTGATCTGGTGGTCTTTGGCATATTGATTCGTAATAGCTGTTTTGATACTCAGTATGAGTTGCAGATATTTTTCCCAGATTATTGTTTCTCTTTTGATTTTGCCCTTTTAGTGGTATTTTTGCCATGCAATTTTTAAATGTCATTGAATATATCGATCTCTTCCATAGCTTCTGGGTTTCCTGTCATTCTTGGAAAGGCCTCCTCATTTGAAGATTTTTTTAAAGATTTAATTAATTAATTTTTTTGGAGAGAAGGGAAGGGAGGGGAGAAAGGGAAGGAAACATGAATGTGTGGTTGCCTCTCTAGAGCCCCTTACTGGGGACGTGGCCCACACCCCACACATATGCCCTGACTGGGACTCCAACCTGCGACCCTTTGGTTCACAGTCTGGCACTCAATCCATGCCAGCCAGGGCTTCATTTGAAGATTTTTTAAAGTTCCCCCCATATTTTTTTCTAGTACTTTTATGGTTTCACTTTTCATTTTTAAATCTTTGCTCCATCTGAAATTTAATTTTGTGTAAATTGTGAGGTAGTGTATCCAGTTGTCCCAAAGCATTTATTGAATAGTCCATCATTACCTCTCTACTTTGAAATGCTTCCTTTTAAAAATATTGTGGTTCTAAAACACTTAACATAAAAATTTCCATCTTAACCATTTTTATGTACAGTTCAGTAGTGTTGTTATTCATATTGTTGTGCAACAGATCTCTAAAACTTATATTCGAAAAATGAAACTCTATACTGACTGAGCAACAGCTTCCCATTGAAATGCTACCTTTTTTCTTTTTTTTTTAATTTTTATTTATTTATCTTTAGAGGGGAAGGGAAGGAGAGAGGGAGAGAAACATCAATGTATGGTTGCCTTTTGTGCGTCCCCTGCTGGGAACTGGCCTGCAACCCTGGTATGTGCCCTGACTGGGATTCGAACTGCGATTGTCTGGTTCGCAGGCCTGCCCTCAATCCACTGAGCTACACCAGCCAGGGCCCTTTTTTCATCTCAGACTAATTTCTGGTCTTTGTTACTTCTTGCCTGGACCACTGTAACAGCTTTCTAGCATCACCATCATTCCAATCTGCCATGCACACCTGATTCATTTTCCTCATACAAGCTCTGACCACTGAACTCCATTATTCAAAACCTTCGGAAGCTGTCCCTGATATACTACAATTGAAATTAATCTCCCCATTACACTCTTTCATAGCACCTGTGTCTTTTCTTTCTGTATCTTCTCATAATTTGCAATTGTAATTATCTGCATGATATTTGACTCTTGACTATCTCCTTGCTAAACGTTAAACTTCACGAAAGAAAGGGCAATGTGCTCACTACTATTTGCAGTGTTTAGTGTGCACTCGGTACATAGTACGTGGTCAATCCATGTTTGTTGAATCATAAGTTCCCCCTAGTCTATGGAATACAAGTGGAAACAATGCAAAATCTGATTTGAACTCAATCTTCTCTCTGCCCTCTGCCCTTCAACAAAATCAAGCTACTGAATTTTCGATCCTTCCCTGACAAAGCCATGGGTTTTCTAATGCTTGGTTCTGGTTGACATCATGCCCTGATCTTTCCATTTGTGCCATGCCCTCCTTTCAGTCCCCCACTTATGACCGTCTCCACCTCTAGACTGTGGGTTCCTTGAGAGCAGAGATAGTTGCCCTAATTTGCCCCTAGGGAGCAGTGCAGTACCTGGTCTGTAGGAGGCGCTCTTGGTCACACATCTTCATTTGCTTCTACGCTACAAGCAAGCTCCTTGGAGGCAGGCAGTGTTCTCTACCTGTGTGCATCTAGGACACTTGCTTCCTAGCCTTTAGGGAGAGACTTGGAGTTGGCTTCAGAAATACTCTGGGACCTACTGGACATGTCTAGTTGTGTTATGAGATGCCTGAATATGAAACGGTGGGGCAGGGACAGAGGCTTCCCCGCCTTTCCCCCACTGCACCCTGTGACAATTCCGTCCCTCTGGCCCCTTCTCTAGCAATAAAAAATTACTGCCTCACACCCTCCTACTCCTCACCCTAACTCAGTCTGGTCTCTCTCCATGAAGGTTGCTCCTTGTCTCCCTCTCCCTCCCTCTGGAGAAGAGCCTGCTCAGTTGGCCACACTTCTGGCCCCTGGAACCAGGAGGCAGGATTGCCATGCCCAAATTCTTGTTCTCCCTCCTCCTTCAGAAACACCTTCCCTGAGGATGTCCAGGCCATTTCCTGCCAGCACCTGCTTCCCAGCTGCTCTCCTGTCACTTCCTTGATTCCAAGGCAGCCCCTCCCCCTGAGAGGCACTGACACCCAGCTTGAGCTTCTCCCCACCCTAAGGACTTCTGATACCCTAGGGGCTCTAAAGGACAAAGGTGGCAAACATTCCAGCCTGCTGACCTGTTTTGTTTGGCCAGAATCGTGTTTTGTGAAGGCCCCAGCAGGGGAGGGATCCGGAACCCTCCAGCCTTTGAGAAAGGTCTAAGCTCCTTCCATGTCCTGCTGTTCTGCTTTAGACCCCACTCCTGAGCCTACCCCTGCCCTATGTCACTAGACTGTCCGGATTCTGAAACCCACCCTCTGACCACAGCTTCCCCTGCTTCCCTTTCACTTCCTGCCCCCCTAATCCTGATTTCTTCTGCAGACACAGACCTCCAAGCCCTCCGGCCCACCCTGTTTTATCCACCTTTTCCTTGACTCCCATTCTTTCTTCTTTGCTTTTCTACTCCTGCCTCACCAATTCCTCAGAACTCCGTGTCTCTGTTTGCAGAATTAGATAAATCTAACCATCCGCCTCCAGTGGAATCATCCTAAAAATCAAAGTTGGTTAATTCTTTTCTTGCTTACAAACTTCCAGAGATTCTCTTCAAGCTACAGGGCTGGTGGCACTAAGGATAAAGGCATGCTCCTCACTCAGCCTAGAAGAAGAGGAAAATTCTGTATTTTAGCCACCACAGCTCCCTTCACGAACCTGTGGCTTGCGTAACAGCTTATCCTGCTACTCATTCTTTCCTTAGCTGGCTCTAGTCTTATTTAAAAATCCTATTGTTTGTATAAAGACACAGAGCAAGGCCACTGAAGACACACCACAAACAGACAAATAGTTGCTACCTCTGCATAGGGCCAGAGGTGATGAAGATTGAGGGACAGAGTTGGTCAAAGGTTATAACCTTATCTGTGAGGTTTCTACTTTTCACGAAGAGATTGTGTCATGTACTTACTATTTGTGAGATATTAAAAACAAACACACCAACCAGTTTAGTACCAGGAAGCCTTCCCCAGATTTCCCAGGCAGATGGAGCTGTTTCCTTTCCTGGTATCGAATAGCACCTTCCCCAAGTGTTACAGGAAATACTGTTTGTAATTTGTTGGAGCCTGTCTTTCTCCTTCTAGGTGGGGAACCCCTCAAAGGTGCAAACTTTACATAATTCATGCTCCCATGCCTAGCAGAGAGCCTGGCCTGGAGAAGCTGCTCAAGAAGTGTGAATCCAGTGTATTGCCTCTGCCAGCTTTGAAAGTGCTTGCGGGAGGACAGTCCTCATCTAGTCCTGGGCTGATTCAAGTAATTTTCACAATGTCCAAGAAAGAATGTCTCTAGGAGTCAGATGTGGGTAGAGGAGAACTTTGGGTTGTGTCAACATGATGGGGTTGAAATGCACCCCCCCTCCCCGCTCCCCAAGGCGGGATTGTTACAGTGCTACTGTCTTGTCACTTGGCATGCTCCTGAAGCCAGTGCCTCCTCAGCAGTTAATCTAACGGCAAAGGCTGTATCCTCAAACACTGAACTCAAGCCCAGCCCTGATCTGTATCTCTAAGATGGAGAGGACACCCCTAATAAACAGGCTGTCCCCATGCAGGGTGGGCCTGGGAGGCGAGTCAGGAGACACTCAGACCAGGTTTGGAGGGAGGAATTGAGCAACTTCGAGGGACTGGAAGAAAGTACCAAGACCCTAGTGGGAATCTGTAACTTTTGTAATTTTCTGGAGAAATCAGAGCTCCCAGGTCATAGGATTCTACTTAAGTCAAAGGCAAAAAAGGGGTAGCCTTAATGGGTCAATTAGATTGGGGGTAGAGTGGGTGTGGCTTTTAGGGTTGGTGAACTGCGTGCCACGTGGCTAAGGCAACTCTTCAGACTTAAATGTGCAAGTGGAGAAGAGGCTGAGGAAGGGTCTGGGATCAGTCTTCTGAGAATGCCCCCAAGCAGCCCCTGTATTCAACCTTGAATAGGATAATGTTCCTGGAGTCTTAGGACAATGAGGCTAAGTACCTGGGCTCCTAAAGAGATAATGGTGGTGGGGTGAGAGCAGAAATTTGGTGAGTAGTCCCCTCCAGGTTCCCCCATTCCTCCCATTCCCCCCCAGCTCCTGCTCAGCTCCCCACCCACAACCCCACCACGGGCTTTAGAATTGCTGAAAGGATGTCAGGCGATGCCACACACTTGTAGACATAAATGAAAAACAACTCCGATTTTGCCATTGCTAAACTAAGTAACTTTTATTTTTATTTACAACAGAATTGGTGACTTTATTCTTCCATCTTTAGGGACAGAGGGCATCAGCAGCCAGATGGAAAGTCTGCAGTGAAGTCAAACTCGTTCTGCCCCAGCCACAGCTCCGGAAGCTCGTTGGCCCGGTCCAGTCCCAGTTCCACCACCAGTGACATCAGCACCTCCTCATCCACTGGGTCTGAATCAATGATGGCAGGACCCTGGGCACCCTGGGCACCCTGGGCAGGAGGAGAGAGTGCCTCCGCCCCTCCCACCTGCGCCCCCGGGCCCCAGTTTTGCTGGGGCCCTGCCTCCTCCGGTTGGTCTGGAGTGGCAGCCGCCGCCCCATGATATTGGTTATTAAGTTTCTGCAGCTGCATGCTAGCCAGCAGATGAGGGGAAGGTTGCAGGTTGAAGGGTGGGGGTTTAGCGGGAGGGGTGGTGGTAGGAGAACCCATTGGAGGTGGGGACCCTGAGGAACTAGGGGGAGCCCCATTGGCCTTGGCTCCATTCGAGGCAACCCCCGGGTAGTGCAGAGTGGCTACTGCTTTGCGATCTTTCACCCCTAGGTTAGCAGCGTAAGCCAGAGAGTTCATCTCTTGGTTGGCATCCTAGAAGACAGAGAAAGGCAAAGCATAGTACCAGGCACTGAAAGCTCCTACATGCACTTTATTTGGTGGGGAAGTAACAAGAATGCCCCCTGGAAAGTTGGCTCTCAGCCCCAGGATCCTTTCACTGCCATGGCTCTGACCACTGAGCTCAGCACCTGCCATCCTTAGTGGGTTTGCTGCTTTCATCTCCCTCCCTTCATCTCACCATTCTAATGCAGGCGAATGCCCCTTTTCTCCATTTCACGTTAATCTTTTCAATGGTGTTGTCTTGTTCCAGTCCCTTCCACCTTTCAACAACCCAAGTGGGTTTGATTTGACCACATTTAGGCAGAAACTTTCCTTGCTGTCCCCAGAGAAAGCCCTGTTGTCTCCTCTTTGCTAAAGGACACTAGATACCACATCTAGAAGGGTCTACGACATGGCCCCAGACCAGCTCATCTTTCCATGCCTCAGTGTCTCCATTTGTGAAATGGGAAAAGTTACCTCCTTTGCAGGTGAGGTGCCACCTTTGACATCAAGTGCAGGTCTCGACATCGTTGGCATTTCACAGCCTTGGCAGAAGCTGGATAGACCGCTGGGAGGTGATGCTGCCAGCTAGAGCTGTTGCACTGTAACGTGAGAGAGAAGAGGTAAGGGCAAAGGCCTCGTTGGCCAAGAAAGCATTTACAAGGCCTCAAACAGGGCAATTCCACACAGCTACAAGGCAAGAATGGTAACAGGGTTAGACACAAGACCAGAGACCACTCGAGCAAGGGAGGAGCTTAAGCTGTAACTTTGATTGCCTAAAGTAGGAAAGGTGCTTGGTTCAGCCAGGTGCTGCCCAGGTAGCCAGCTGCCCACATCACCAAGAGGGTACCACGATGACTGTTTCCTCATGCTAGTGATTTCAGAGCCCTAAGTGTGTGTGAGGAGTGGGATGGTACTGTTCCTGATTCTGAAGCCAGAAATGTCCCTGAGTAAGTAGTACACTGTCTCCATGAGCCACTGGCTTCTGGGCTGGAGAGCTGCAGCCTCCATTGGGACTGGGAGAAAGTGGGAAGGAGTCAGGGCAAGGAAGATCTAGAAAGCAGGAGGCTACAGCTCAGAGAAGGAATAACTCTCTAAGGCATGTGCCATGGAGCTCCAAAGCCCTCACTCAGGTGTGAGTCTTAGAAAAGCCAGGCTGATCAAGGTGGCAGGGGGCTCTGAACCGGCCAACAGAGCCTTGAGGAATGTCTCCATTTCTTCCCTACCTCAAGCTTCCTCCTCAAGATCGCCCTGGGGAAACTGGTCTGAGCCCAGCCACACCCATCTGTAGTGACATTTGGGAATAATTCTTCCCGGAGGGAAACAGGCATAGAGATTCAATGGCTTTCCTATCAAGTAGCAGTGGTTCCCGGAGCAGGATCTACCACTCTTATGTCCGCAGGCCTCACCTGACCAAAGAATTATACCTAGAATGATTCAAATGGTTTCCAAAGAAATAATTTCCTGGTTCAATTGCCAAAGGATGAAGGGGAAAGAATCCCCCCAAATCAGAAAACAAAAAAATCTCTTCATCTGAAAACCCTCAAGTTATTTTTCTAGCAGCTTGTTTTTTTAAAGCCTCATATATTCTAGCCTTCAGGATGAATTAGAGATGTCGAATTTCATATTTATAAAAACAGTTTTCCCCAAAGAATCTTCAGCACCTTAAAAAGCATCTCTAATCTTTCCAACAAAGCTAGAATTCTCCTTGACAACTCCCTCCTCCAGTGGTCATTAAGAATCTGTTCAGACTCTTCTAGAAAGTGGCCACTTACTACCTCTGTTTATCGTCTTCGAAGCACTTATTTGTAGGAGAGGGAGGCAAGAAAAATAGAGAAAGGAACAAGTGGGGAACAAAACATGAGAAAAAAACATCAGTTTCTGGGTGGCCAGCACCACCACTTGGTTGGAGCCCTGTTTATTCTCTGAGGTAAGCCGGTAACATTTCAAGTCAGTGATCACGAGACACGAAGTCTAATCCATGTGTCTTCCAGAGCCCAGCACCTTCACTATCAAGCAGCTTTCACGTCCTAAGAAAAATGTTGAGGGGCTCTGCTCATCTTTCCCGTTCCTATGCAGCCTTCCTTCTTTGTGCTGCCAGGACCCAAATGTACAAAAGAAGAAACAATAGTAGCAACAACAATAACAAAAAGGGGAGGGAAAAGAGAAATAGGAAAAAAAAAAGAGAGAGAGAGCACCAGAACAAAGTATCTGTTTTAATATCAGGTCCCAGGGAAGACCTTTAAAAAAAAAACCCACAGTATCTCCTCTCTTCAGGCTGGGAGACCCCCATTAACGGGACCCTGTTTCCATTCTGATCTGTTGTCTCCCATCACTGCTCCTCTCCCGCCCCCCACACCTGGCTAAGCCCCACCTGGGTCTGTGCACAGTGGGCGCTCAGTTAAGTGTTGAATCCGTCTGAAGAGGCAATAGCATTTCGATCGGAATCCCTGCCCCTACTTGCCCGATTTTTGTCTCTACTCCGCCACCCAGCCCGTTGGAAGGCAAAACTTGGCAGCTCGGAAACGTCCCAGCCTGCTCTCCAAGCCCAGAGCTGACCACTGTGATACGGCTGCGAGAGGCGACCGGGCGACCCAGAGCAACAAGTGCCTCCTCACACACTGGTGCCTCACGGGCTAGCTTCTAGTTCCCGCCCAACCTTCTCTTCGGACCGTCCCGTGCCCCGGCGGCCCCCTCCCACCTAGATGGTGATGGGGAGGGGAGAGGATGAAGAAAGAAGGGAGAGTCAGGTAAGGGGAACTCCTCTTTGACCTGTTGGAGAACCAAAAGTTAAAATACCACCAACCGGATGGTTCCATCTCGATTGCTATTTTCTCACTCAGGAGAAATTTAAAAAAAAAAACCCAAACAGTACTGCGGCTTGGCTCGGACGCGCTCTAACCTAGAGTAGTCAGTTTCGCCACCTGAAAACTAAAGGCCCCTTGTTTGCGGACAGCTCGGCTGCTCTCCTTGCCGGATCCCAGGTGGAGCCGCCGGCGCTGGGGGCGGCCTGGAGCATCCCTGCACAGTGGGCGCGAGCACCCAGGCCACCAGGACTGAGAGCGTCCGTTCCCGCAAGCGTTATGTCAGGAACCGATCGTAGAGACCGCACAAACAAGCGGGCAGGAGAGCGGGGTCTCGGCCCCGCGGTGTGCCCGCCCGCGGGGGCGCACTCAGGCTCCAGCGGCGGCTACTCCTGAGCCTCACCAACACTTACTCAGAGCCCGCTGAGCACGCGACACGGCCGCAGGCTGAGCCTACCCCTTAGCCAGGCCGCCTGTGATCAGTGCTCTAACCCCGCTACCAGAAGAGTGAGAGAGGCTCCGAGAGGTTCGGTAACTTGCCCAAGGTCACAGCGCTAGGAAGTGGCGGAGCCGGAATTCACAGCCACGTCTTTCTGACTCCCAGTCCAGCGCTCCTCGAGGCAGAGACTCCAAGAGCGACTGGGCTCAGCTGCGCCGGTTTATAAAGGAGAGGGGTGTGTGCGCGGGTGTGCGTGGCTGTGTGGGCGTGTGTGGTGGGGGTGGGGTGGGGAGAGTAGAGGTCAACTAGATAGTAGAGGCAAGTTGCCCAAATTCACTAACTTCCATCCCGCAATTCCCCTGAACGCGGCCCTAAAAGCCCCTTTTGCCTCCAGCCCCCAAAGGAAACCTGAGCTTTGTGCAGCCCCGGAGCCGGAGCGTCCAGATGCGGTCCGGGAGATTAGCAAAGTCCGTGGAAGCCAAGCTGGAGAAAGCGCGGGCGCGGGGAGAAAAGGTACTGCCGTCTCCCCGGGAGAAGCGGGCGCCTGGCGCGGCTGGCCGGGAGGCGGGAGCGCCGGAGAGCGAACGGGCTCACCGGCGGGCAGGCGGGCGGCGGCCCCTCCACCCCCAGCAGAGCAGCTCTCAAACAGAAAACAACTCCCTCAGAGCCCCCCGGCCCGCGCGGCCGCCGCCCGCTCCCTAAGCCCGCTCCACTGGAGTCCCCGGCCCCTCAGCCCAGCTCAGCGCCCTACAGGGCGGCCCGGCTTACCTCAGCGAAGCTGCCTGCCCAGGAGAGGGAAGCGCGGAGCCCGGTGAGCCGCGGGCGAAATGGCAGAGCCCCCAGCCCCTGGCACGCACGCACGCCGCCACCGCCGCCGCTGCGAACCAGTCGCGCTCAGTGCCACCCGACCCCGGGGCGCCTGGGAAAAGCCCGCACCGCCGCCCCGCCACCGCGCCGCACCGTGCCGCGCCAAGCGGCCCCGGCCCGCGCCCGCCCGCCCGTCCGCCCGTCCGCCCGCGGCTTCGGCGCCTGGCTCCCGGGTGGTAGCGGTGGTGGCCGCCGCGCTCCCTTCCCGGTGCGGGGGACCGGCTCTCAAGCCCCCATTGCCGCCCGGAGAGCCCTGACGCACACGCACTCGGCAGCAGGCTGGCTTCGGCAAAGAATCCCAGAAAGGACAGACCCTTTTCCCCCCTTTTTTTCCCCTCTCCCCCTCAATTTCCACGTCTTTATAACCGGCTTAGGGCATTATTAGCACATGTCCTGGCTCGTGGGCGAGTTGATGGCAAAATCTGAACTGGATACTTACCCAGGGCCAGAGCTGGTGCTGTGCCTTCCTCAGCCTTCTCCTTCCTCGTCAGGAATGAGCCTCGGTCTGCGGGTTGCGGACGGACTGCCGGGAGGAGAGTGAGCCTCCACCAGGGCAGCTCACCCGTATCCCTTCTGCAGCTGTGCCGCTGGGAACATTTTATAGTGGCAGTTAGAGTGTGTGGCCCTTTAAAAGGCGCTCGAGCTGGTGCAGTCGCCGCGGATCGTGTGAAAGCAAAGGGCCGGCTGGGGAACGGAGTCCAAGCGGCCCAGCGGGGTCCGGCAGCGCCGGGGACGGGCCATAACTCTCGGGATGGGGTTGGCGGGCCCAGACCATTGGCACCCCGAACCCTGAGCCCCTGTCCGACGCCTGTGCTTCTAAAGCTGGCGGGACCCCGGGTCCGGGACGTAGTCTCTCCCTACCGCCCTGCATGGACTTGCCCAATAAATTCCACTTAGTAATTTCGCTGAGGCGAAGGAAAGCTGTTAGTGTATGTTTTCTGACCTAAATCTAGCGGATGGCCTGAGAGGGCTTCAAGAGGGGAGAGGAGGGTTGAGGGGAGAGCTATAGACTCAAGGAGTGACTTCGACCAGGGGGTGCACAAGGGATGCCAGGGAGGGGACACTATTGTGTTCTCTCCAGGGCTTTCTGGAGCCTGTCTGCCCCTTAGGGCTGCGCTATCTCTGTTGTTGAAGGGATGAGACTGGGCTCGCCATTCCCCTTAAAGTCGCCAGATTCCCCTCAAAGTCAGCGGAGCCTCGTTGAGGGCCTATGTGCCGGCAGCGGTGGCTTCCCTCGAAGGCCTGAGCCGGGTTGGGTTTCAGGTATTCTCTCTCGTGGTTATCCAGGGTAGACAGAGGCTTGCAGGATGTGACACAGAAACATACTGCCCTCCCGGACCAGCTCAAGGGGCACGCCAAAAAGCCACAGGACCGGGGAGCAGGGAATGAACAGCTTGCCTCTGGGCTCGCAGGGATTCCTCCTGCCTTCCCAAGATGCCAGGTTATTTTATTATGACTATACAATCCTTCACATCCAGCAAAAATATCTTGCATTTGGAGCACACCTTCCCCACATTGGGGTATTATCTTACAAATCTTTACAGGAAAAAGGTCCAGCCTTCTCCATCTCATTTCGTGTTCCTTGTAGCCAAGAAGCCCCATCTCACCTCTTACAGGAAGGCCACCAAGATTACCCCTCTACCACACGCCCTTTTTTTTGGCCCATTTCAGCAACAACTACTCACTTTACACTGTTTATAAAACATTGGGACCTTTAAAAAAGTCCCAGTGTTATGAAAAAAGAGGGGATGTCACCAAGGCATATTCGCTATGTATGCATTCTGTCTTGATAATTGGATTTGAAGACCTAAATTTCTTCCAGCCCCCCTTTTCTCTTCTTGCCTTTCTTTAATCCCCAAGTGCCTTGTATTTGCTCTTCGAACAAAGTTCTGTTTGCGGATGCTCTGAACTGCTTACTGACACAAAGATGGGCAACAGAGGGGCAGGTCAAGGCCCTTCTTTGACGCTTGGAGGAAGCTAGGGCGAGTTCTCTGGACTCCAGGTTAAACTCATTCCCCAGCCTTGCGCGTCTTCATTCCGTCCCCTCACCCAAGGCCAACACAAAACCCAGTAATAATCACAATATTGCTGCACTTTCTCACTTTACCCAAAGACCGTGGGTTGTTACCCAGTTTCCTTATGATAAAAGGCGGGATATTTCGGGACCATAAAACCCTTCAGAGTTTGCCTATAAAATACACCCTCAAGCCATCTCTGTGCTTGCCTAAGGCGAGGGACCCTAGGTTTCCAAATTGTGCGTTGCTACTTTGGATCTCCGACCTATCCTCTCCCTCAGCGCCCTCACTGGGGAGCAGATCTAGAACCGCGAGCAGCGGCTTCGTTGCAGGCTCCGGATCCGGGAGGTGGCGAATCCGCCCTCCATCTATTGGATGGTTCCAAGGCCAATTGTTAGAAAGAGGCATATGTTCATCTGGGCTTCTGGAGTGTCTCCGGAGCAGTTGCTCAACAGCCATCCCCTCCCCCATCCAGACCATTGAAGGGCAGAAAAAAGAGCGCCCCCGCCCCATTTCTGTGCCCACATGCCAGAAAGGGTCTTCCCACTGGTGACTTCCTGTCAGCTCTACTGTCCACCTCCCAGAGAGCAGAAAAGAGGGGCTTCAAAGGGCTCGACTCTGGAGCACAAAAGCCACCCCTTTCTTTTGGGGGGAGATGGGAGAGGAGGTTAGTTGCAGAGGCTGGGAGAGCGCAAAGGAGACATTTGCATTTCTCTGCAAATAAGCCCCGGATCTCTGACTTCCTAGTCAGCTCCAGCCGAGCTCAGAGCTCTCCGCTGAACTCTTCTCTCCAACTTGGCAACTAGACTTCGAGCTCGCATGGCAAGTAGAGGACGAGGATGGTCACCCGGCAAGAACTTTCTGTGCGCACGCATTGGGCCTGGCATGTTCCCATCCATCATCTCATTTAAGACTTACCTGTGAGGCAGGGTTTACCAAAGGTGAAACGCCATCCCAGAGATTTGTCCAAGTTCACACGGCCAGGAGGTGGGTGTTTGAATTGGGTTAAGCTGGCTGCAAAGTCCTTACCATCATCCCTACACTTCGCTGCCTGGGAGAGTAAGGAAGCATCAAGGCTGTGTCCAGAGTACAGGTTCAGGGGTCAATCTGCCTGGGTTTAAATCCCTACTTTGCTGTTTACTAGCTGTGTGATGTTAGGCCACGTGGCTTCATTGTTAGGATCTGAGTTTTCCCATCTGCTAAACAGGGGATAATGGTAGTAACTCCGTGGAGTTATTGCAAGGATTGAAAGAAAAAGCATAGTCTGTTTAGTAAGTGGTCAGAAAGTGCTTTTTTTCGCCTCCTGATCCTTCTTCTTTCACCTCCTAGCCCTGCTTCAGCTCACACACTTCAGATTCAATAATACTTGCTGAATGATTAACATATATATAAACAGCCTGAGAGGAGGTAAAGGAGGACTATAAACTCAGGAAGGGGAGGGAGAGGAAAATGCAGATTTATTCTCAAAATCCCACCCTTCAGAACCAAGGGCTGTTTAAGCCACATGACAGGAGTAAATTAGGGACCAATCCAAGATGATCACTTTTTTCCCGGACAGTCATAAACGTCCAAAATAGTCTCCAGAAACATATACTCAATATGTGTGTTGAAAAGTTAAAAAGCATAAGTCTTTTTTGTCCAAGAATGTTTGGAGCAGAATTGTTTATAATAGTGAAATATAGGAAGCAATCTAAAAGTCCATGGTGAACCCCGCCTGGTGTGGCTCAGTAGATTGAGTGCCGGCCTGTAAACCAAGGGCTTGTTGGTTCAATTCCCAGTCAGGGCACATGCCTGGGTTGTAGGCTGGGTTACCAGCTGGGGAGCACATGAGAGGAAACCACACATTGGTGTTTCTCTCCTTCTCTTTCTACCTCTCTTCCCCTCTCTAAAAATAAAATAAAACCTTTGAAAAATTATAAAAAACATAAATGTCCATGGTGAGGAAGTGTCCCTTGAGACCTTGACACTTCAAAAACAACAACAACAAAAACCCCTAAACCAACTGATTTCCAAAACTCATTTATGGGAAAATGTTCACTACAAAATATTAAACTAAAAAAACTCTGGGTACAAAGTTGCATAAATATGATGATGCCAAGTTGCAAAGGGCACAAAGACTAGAATATTAAATGGTACCTTTCCAGCTCTGTATGAATATGGGTAATGAAATGATGGTCAGGAAAACACCAGCAACATAGTCGGTGGGGTGGTAGGATTATGAGTGATTTTTTTTCTCTTTTCTCTATGGCATACAATATTATTCTTATAATTAACTGTAAGTTTATAGTTAATGAATTACATAAACAGTATGCCCCCACTTTTCTTAAAATTTCATGTGCAGAGAAGAAATATTGGAAGTAAATACACCAAAATGATAGCAGTGATTGTAATTGAATAGTGAGATTATGGTGCTATTTTTCTTTTCCTCTTCATTATTTTTCTGCAACATGATTATATTATTTTCTTACAATTAAAACAGATTCAGATTTTGAAAAGCGGATAATCAGTATGATCCATCCCACTTGTGTTAGAAGTATGTATATAAATTGAAAAAAATGGGAAGAAGATATATGAAGATATTAAGTTTTTATATTAGATGGTAAAGAATTATGGGTAATTTTCCATAATATGATTTTATTACTTTTATAATTAATATAAAATAATGCCTACAAATGGCATATACAGTAGGATCCCTCTCATGTGTATATGTATATACCTATATATGCATGGAATAAATCATAGACTACTCCAAAGCACGGTTGTCTCTGGGAGGTGGGGGTGACTTATTTTCTCCTTTATAAGAGAGTTCTTCATTTTCCAGTTTTTTTTTACAGACACCATGGATTATTTTTTTAATTATGAAAATGTAAAATCAGTTCAATAAGGAGGTATTTATGGGAGAAACAGCATGTCTAGGATTTGCTTTAAAACATTTTTAATGTAAAATTTAAAAGGTAGGGTTAAGTGGGTGGGAATATAGATAAATGAGATGCATACACAGCCTCCTTCATTGTGTTTACTTGCGTATATGTTT